TGCTGACAGAAAAAAGCCATTAATCAGTGCAGTTTTGGAGTCATGGGCTGGTCTGGCTTCAGATCATTCTCATTCTGTGCCTACAATTTTGGACTCAGCTGAGGTAGTAGTTTGCCTTAATATAGTCTTTCTAGCTTAGTAATGCTTGGAGCTTACATAGAAACATGATGCATTGACACTAAGCGGTAGTTAGCTGATATGAACATCTTCAGAATTGCTCAGTCTATATAAGTGAAGAAGGAAGGAAAGATCTTTCTCCTGACATGTTATCCAGCTTGGTCAGGCGTGACACCTGTCATCTGGGGCTCTTTCACAAGATGGCGATGGCACAGTTTGGAAGCAGAAGTTTGAAGTTTTTGGTCACAAATTCTTGCTAAGTGTATCTACCGAGCTTTCTGTATCCCTGGTGACTACAGGGCTTTGTGGTTTCTGCTTTCTTGATGTGTCTGAGTATCCTAAATAGGTGGGTTTGGAAAGACACAGGCTTCATGGTGATACTCTTCCAGGTCATCGCTATTCATTTTAGTTTACTAGAAATAGAAGTGTATTTCTGCACTGTTTTATGCTGTCTTTTTCTGACCCTGCTTAGGTCATAGTCTTACGTGGTACAGGGTTACAGCCTGTTGGAAAATAAGCTTTTTGTGTCACTCTTTTGTTTCCTTGCATAGTTCCTTCCAGTCTGAACTAAGATAAAATCATTAGTCTGGCTTGATTTCCAGTCATTTTAAATTGCATAGTTTCTCAGCAGCCCTGAGGTACTTCACTGTGAGTATTGCTGCCTTCCTGAAGTATACTATTCCACATTCTGTAGAAGGGTTTCAGGTCAGTCAATAAGAATATTATTAGAATGGAGCCCTTCATAACCCCAGCTCTCCAGATACCTATAAGCAAAACCAAAAAGAACTACAGGAGTTTTTTGCACTGGAGATGCTTTTAAACTCATGACTTATTTAGGGAAATTTGGTAAGCATTTCTGTAAGCTGGGTTCAATTTAAAAGAAGCTATGGAGAAATGGTTGCAAGGAAAGCAAATTCACTTAGAGCATTCTGCTGAGACAGAGCTGTAGCAAAACACAGAAGAGTATTTAAAAAAACCAACAGTCCCATAGCTATCTTAAAGATATGTAGGGTAAAATCATGGAATTTCAGGAGTTAAAATTCATAAGGTATCCCCACTGAGCTTTTAAAATAAGGAGGACATAGAACGCAAGGAAAATGAGGCAGCCTTATAGTGGACAAGTGAGTTGGAGGCTGGTTCTCCTGTCTTGCCGAGGCCGTGCATGAAGCCCTGGCTCTAATTAAAGAATGTTACCACTGAATTCAGTGTATCCGCTATTACACATAGCAGTGGTTACACAGAGCAACCCCATCAGCTTGTTCCTCTGGGGCAATTGAAAGCAGAATGCACCCAAAGAAATACAAATCATTCAATCTGTATCAGATTAGTTTTAGTTAACTAATAATCATGGCAAGGCACTTCCAGACTTTTGTCGTCCTGTTTTTGCAGTAAATAGTCTTTAATTGTCTCATCTGAATATAGTACAAGCAGGCAGGAACATTAGATATAAAACGTCATTAACGCATTTTTCTCTCTTTTTTGTTAGTCTATGCAGTACGCCACAGTGTTGATTATTAACAGCCTCTACACTGGAAAGTGGCTTCAGCAATTCTGCAAATTGGCTAGATTTGAAGCTGTTAATTATGCTGTATAGTGTACTCCATAAAGGCAGAAATGAGTGTGACTTGGCTCAGTTCTCATGAGAATAAATTGTAAAAATTGGCCCTCTGTTTTATTTGAACTCTGGCATCATAGAGGACATGGACATTCCATACAACAGGCTTGGCAAGGACTAATCGTTTACTCCATTAGAAAATCAGAATATGTTCATAGTAAAATCACATACCTGGCAGAAAGCCCATGGCTCTTGGGACTCTGCAGAGGTCTGAGTCTTGTTACCAGAGGGTGCGTTTTATCATTTTTGTCTAAGAAACTCACAAACATCTTAAATCCAAGTCTCCAATACGTGCTGGCCCTCTAACATTAAGGCAAGTGATAAGCAAGGGTGAGGAGGGGATCATCCTTTGGCTTAGGCTCTCTACTTATGTTTTTATATAAATGGAGATGTTTAATGGCAAATTATGACATGATACCTTTACATTCAGGATGCTACTCCTTCTGAAGTAGACCTGTACATATTTATGTCATTTTCTGTTAGAGTATGAAAGCAGATAAATCATAGAAGAAAAACAGCTCCATAAATTGGAGTGATTTTTAAATGTTCTAGAAATGTATTTGGATAAGGAGATAGTATGTCAAATATTTGACTGTACCTTTGTAGCTGTTATGAGATTCTAGAGGTGTATCTAATACTAGTTGAAAGATCCTGAAAGCAGTTTTAAATGTCCAGTGAGTCACAGTGATGAAAAATAAAAAGTCATTTTTGCAATTTCTTCTACAAATCAAAGCGAGCTGTTTAAAAAAGAATGTAAGTTTGGGACTTCAGGTGTTATTTTTTTAAACTGGAAAAAAAAAAAGGTGAAAGAAAATTACTGTCTCAACCAATGCCTTAATCCATAGAACAAAGAGGATTTTGTAGTTTAAGCATACTAAAATAACCAGTGTTAAATTCTTATAACTGTTTGGTGTCATTTAAACTTTGCAGTAAATGCATAAATTTCTGTTTTGTTTGGTTTGGGCTTTGGGGGTGGTTTTGTTTTGCTTTTTTTTTTTTCTTTTTGACAAGCAAGAAAGGCAATATGTAAGAAAAAACCTTAACAGTATGATTCATGCTAATGCATAGCATTCATTTTCTTATCAACAAGATGTATTAAAATGGAAACAATGAACTAGCAAAGCCATCTTGTGCATGGGATTATTAAATTCACAGTTTGCTGCTGCTAATTTGTTAGTAGGCTTCAGTTGTTTGAGAAAGCTCATACAAACTCGTTTTGCAAAACTGATTATTATATGAAATGCCCTCTGTCATTGCCACTGGAGGGGAATAGCTCTGAATCAGGGCTGTGTCACAAATGGAGTTAGCTGAATGATCTCAGTTCAGTACCATTTACCTAACAGAATTATGAAGATGATGCTGACATAATGAATAGCTTCTGCTCAGACAAATGTAGTCCCCTGGAGACAATGAAAATTCAGTGCAGGGTTGTTCACTTTCCTTGGTTGATATGAAGAGCTTTGATTCTACTAGTGAAGTCAGTCCTTGTTCTTTTATCAGAATTATGTTAATTTTATGAATCGACAAAATTCAGTCTAGTAACAGACGCAATTATAAAGCATTTTGAACTTGTTGGTTCTGGAGGGCATTCTCCCTTAAGTTATGTTTCTTAAGCAAGCGTGTTTTGTTTACTTTGATGAAATATGTGTTAACTAGAATAGCGTAGTAGTTAGAGATAATCCAGAATCATTCCATGTATACTACAAGGAATACTGTGTTTTGTAGTCAGTGTTTCATGAGCAAACACAGGAACCAGCCTGTATAGTCGCTTCTGAAGGATACTTCCTGCCATTTTTTTCCTTGGATTAATCATCTTGTTCGTATTCATACTTGTGAGAAAATTTTCAGAACAAAAATTGTTTCCATTTTTCAGATGCAGTCTGTGAACCATACACTAGTATGGGTCAAAGACAGATTGTCATATTGAGGACAATTTTGTTATAAGATAAAACAAGAATTAATGATTAAAAAACAGCCTCAGAATGAAATCAATTATCTAATGTCAATGTTAAGATTTTCAAAACGAAAACTGTTCCCCAGTGTAAATTTCTTTTTCTCCACCATGTTCTTGGAGCACTGTGAGGCCCAAGAATGTTTTTCTGTGGTGAGTCTTTATGGGCATTCAGTGGGGCTGTGAAGTACAGAGAACTGCAGCTCTCAGAGCGCTTGGCATTTTTTGGAGGCATTTATTTGGAAAGAATTTCTGTTGGAATGTAAGAAATACTTTTGCTTGTGCAGCCAGCAGTGTGTATGTAGCACTTCATGCAGAACAGACCAGAATCTTAAAATATTTTTCCTGTTAAAAAGCATCATGGGTTAGTATTTGTCTTCTATATGAAATAAAACATGTATATTCATTCTTTTAGGGTGAAAAAGGATATAAAGGAGAACCAGGACCAGAAGGTGTTCATGGAAGAGAGGTAAACTGAATGATAACAAAACAGTCAAGTTACAGACTTGGGGGGTCGGGGAGATGGTTAAGCAATGAAATTCAGATTTTATGTCAGGATGGATTTTGAAAATGTGTATGCCAGGAGAGTTGACATCCACAAGATGATGGGGCAAGAAAATATTAATTCAGGTGCAATAGGAGTTTTTAGGGCTTCAGGTTGGACAGGGGAGCTGTGGGTAAGGATGTGGTAGGTTCCATGATATTTCTGAGGGCTCAGGAGCAAAACTGAAACAAGTGTGGGGATTAAAGCAGCACAGTATAGATGAGAATCATTCCTGGTTGGATAATCTGATGGAAAAGAGGGAGTTTCTGGAGGAAGGGTAAAGATAGGCCTGGAGCCTAGGTTTCTGAAAAGCAAAATATACAGGCTGCTAGACATTCCTGGGTGAGCTCCAACCCTGCCCCCCTGTGGGATGGGGACAATCAGTAAAAGGTAAAACTTGTGGGTTGAGATAAGAACAGCTTAATAATTGAAATAAACTAAAATTTAATAATAGTGATAAGAATTATTTCAATGAAAGTGAAAAGAGAGAGAGAAGCGAACTCCAAGAAACAGAAGTGAATCACAATACAATTGCTCACCACCCACTGACCGATAGTCATCTTATCCTTGAGCAGTGTTCAGGCAACTCCCCCCAGTTGGGCATCATACTGGGCATGATGTGTTATGGTATGGAATATCCCTTTTTGCTAGTTTGGGTCAACTGTCTTGGCTGTGCTCCCTCCCGGCTTCTTGTGCCCCTCCTCATGTTCCTACAGAACATGGGAACCTGTGAAGTCCTTGATTTAGAGTAAGTGCTACTTAGCAACAACTAAAACATCAGTGTGTTATCAGCGTTGTTCTCATACCAAATCAAAAACACAGCACTGTACTGGTTTCTGGCAAGAAAATTAACTCTATCCCATCCAAAACTGGGACAGTCACTTACTGTGCCATGTGGCTCGTGATAGAGAATTTGAGTTAAAATTTCACTGCCTACTTAGTTAATTACTCCATATTTGAGGTGGAGCATGAATCTGTGTCTAAAAGTACTGCATAATCCTGATCATTGAGTTCACATTCTAGCTTGAACCTCAGCTAAAGCTGTGGACGTGCCCAGTAAGAAACCTTAATTTTGCCTGATTTATTTTTAAATTTAAATTAATTTTTTTGTGTATTAAAACAAGGTGAGAAAGCAGAAAATGAGGTTTTTATTTTCAATGCGATACTAAAATGGCCAACCAGCCTGATTTAACAGCGAGATTAAAAAAAATTACAAAATTGTAAATCAAGCCAGCAGTTTTCTTTATCCCCTTCTTTCCCTCCTGTCTTCTCCTTGGCTTAGCTGGGGGTCAGCCTGGGTTAAGGTTTTAATTCAAGATACTGTTGGGTTTCCTATTGCAAGACATCACAGTTGAAGGCAGAAAGCATCTCAGGGGGATCTGAACCTGACTGTCCAAATTCTGTGGGGAATGACTGGCATTAGGACTGGAATCCACACACAGGATTTGGAAAAAAATATGCAGCAAAGCATTTTTAAGCAACTTTGCCAAAAGAGTAAAAGGGTCAGCATTTGACCCAAAAAATGCTATGACAGTCTGTCTGGTTCTACTGAAAATACAGTAAAACAGGCTACATAATTATGACGTTTTTTATGTGATCTGGCTTTCTGTGCACATTGTAACCATAAAAATATTTTTCTCATTGTAGTTTGTTATAATTTAATGCTATCAGCCTATTTTTGAGTAATAGCGGATATCCTCCATATGAAAACATACACTATGTACTGAGCTGAAACTACGTTTGGGTATTCAGAGGGGGTTTTCTCTTGTAGCCTGCCTGTCTGTAAAGGTGAACCATATACTTCAATCATGCATACATATATGCTGACAGCATGGAAAAAATACATCTGTGTTTCTTTCCATAGCTCTGGGGACATTTCTGTGTTGGTCTTACACGATCTCTTTTACTACATGGGATCTTGTTCCATAAACCTTTTAGGAAGAGTAAGGTATACCAAGTATCTGGTGAACTCTAGAACATATTTTACATAGTGGCACCATGAAAGAGTGAAATATTGGACGTCTATATTTTTAAATACTTCCTGGACTATTGTAATGTGTCAAGAAATGGTAGATTATCATCATGAGAACTCTCATTAAAATATTTTGGAAGTAAAATTGCACAAGGCGATGTAATATTATTTGAATCCACACATACTTCCTTTTTAACAACCACACTTACATAAAATGCTTTGGATTCAGTTATCGCTGTGCACGGAGATGCCAGTCATTAAGTTTAAATTTAAAGGACTTTGTATCATTGACTCTTGGTTGCTATCAGTGTCTGTCAAACTCATTCCGCATAAAGAAATGTAACATCTGATATTTCTGAAATAATCAAGTTAATCTGCTTACATGAGCGTAATCTGCAGTGCTGTACAAAGAACGCCTGGAAACACTTAAAGCTAGTGGTACCGGCTGCTGGCAGCTGTTGTCTCTGCCTGGGGGAGTGAGGGCTTCCATACTCACAAGTGAAGAACTTGAAAATGATGACTGAACGTTTTATCTCACACAAATGGTAGAAACAGATTGAAATTTATTTTAATCAAAATCAGGAAAGTAGGTGTCACAGAACAATTTTGCTTGCTATTACTACTTGCATTTTCATAGCTGTACAAAAAGTTCTTGCTGGAATGAAGTAGCATGGCAGAGGGTAAGCCAGATCTGATTTGGAGACTAGGTTTTCTGTAATGGTGAAGAGAGACCTAAAAAGTTTAATTCCCTTATCCCTCACTGGTTGTGCTAACTGGGCCAGTTAATTTTATTGAGAACCAGGTTTGGATGCAGGAACTGTGAATATATTTAACTGCTTTGCACATCTCCCAGTTTATCACTCCAGGAATCTGTGCCAAGATCTACAATGCCCTGTCCCAGTCTGGGACATTATTCAAAATCCATCTGACAGCAAGAATGCTTACTATAAATACTAGTAATGGGATTGCCATTGTTTTTAGCTCTTAAGGAGTAGTTATAAATAACATAATACATTGCTAGTGTAGTCCTCCTGTGGTATGCGTTCACATTACATCCATAAGCAGGTATTTGACTGTATAATATGAACAGCGAGTTTGCTTGAGTAGTATCTCTGGTTTATCCCTTAAGACTTTTTTAGTCACTTGACATTAATAATGCTATCATTTGTATCACTGTAGCAAGTGGCACTTCATAGACACACTGCCTGAAAGAAATCCCCATAAATATAGTTTGTTCTCCATCAAGCGTGCAAAGAGTTGTGGTAAACGCCTCCATGTCCAGTTGGAAAACAGTAACGAGTGGTGTCCCTCAGGGATCGGTGTTGGGACCTGTCTTGTTCAGCATCTTTGTCAGTGACATGGACAATGGAATTGATGCGCCCTCAGCAAGTTTGCCGACGACACCAAGCTGTGTGGCTTGGTTGATACAGTGGAGGGAAGGGATGTCATCCAGAGGGACCTGGACACGCTTGTGAGGTGGGCTGATGCCAACCTCATGAAGTTTAACCAAGACAAGTGCAAGGTCCTACCCCTGGGTTGAGGCAACCCCAGGCTGGGCGGAGAAGAGATTCAAAGCAGCCCTGCAGAGAAGGACTTGGGGGTGGTGGTTGATGAGAAACTGGACATGAGCAGGCTTCAGTGTGCGCTTGCAGCCCAGAAAGCCAACCGTAAACTGGGCTGTATCAAAAGAAGCGTGACCGGCAGGTCAAAGGAGGTGATCCTGCCCCTCTACTCTGCTCTCGTGAGACCTCACTTGGAGTATTGTGTCCAGTTCTGGTGTCCTCCACATAAAAAGGACATGGAGCTGCTGGAGCAAGTCCAGAGGAGGG